ATTAGTGGATTAAGTCCTCGTTGGAGAGAGGCAAAATCACCTTGACGGGTGGACTGGAGTAGTTTGAGATCAAACGAACCAGGATAAAAAATATTGTGTCTTTGAGAATTTGATTTTAAGTTTTCAATTCAACCCCCCTTCTTGTGTTTTTTCACTTCTTCAATTGGCATCAGAGCGCCTGGTTCTGAGTTAATACACTTAACTGTGTCAATACAAGATCCAAGCTTTAGAAAAACACTATGGTGGGACCAAGCCAAAACATCAGCAATGACTATCATGAAGACAAGGACAGAATCAGTGGCAAACCTCCAGTCTTTGATGGAGAAAATTTTGACTACTGGAAAAACAGAATTGAGAGCTTCTTTCTAGCCCATGATGCTGATCTATAGGACATGGTAATTGATGGATACACACATCCAGTGGATGGAAGTGGTCAGAAGGTAGACAGAAAAATGATGTCTGACCAGCAAAAACGTGATTTCAGAAACCATTATAAAGCCAGAACAATACTCCTCAGTGCTATCTCATACTCAGAATATGAGAAAATCTCAAACAGAGAGACAACCAAAAACATGTTTGACTCTCTGAGAATGGCGCTTGAAGGAAACATACAAGTCAAAGAAACCAAGGCCCGTGTGCTCATTCAGAAGTATGAGGCATTCAAGATGGAAGATAGTGAATCCATAGAAGCAATGTTCTCAAGATTCCAGATCCTTGTTGCTGGGATGAAGGTTCTTGACAAAGGATATTCTACTGCTGATCACGTAAAGAAGATCATCAGAAGTCTACCCAAGAAATGAAGGCCAATGGTCACAACACTTAAGCTAGCTAAAGATCTCAATAAGATATATCTGGAGGAACTTATCAGCTCTCTCAGAAGTCACGAGATAAAGCTAGAAGAAGATGAGCCTCAAAAGCAAGGTATGCCACTATCATTAAAATCTAACAAAAAGTCTGATTCTAAGGTTTTGCAGGCTATGGAAGAAACCTCTGATGGATCCTCATCAGAAGAAGATGAATTGTATCTCCTCTCCAGAAGGGTGAATCAACTGTGGAAGCAGAGACAAAGGAAATTCAGAAATCCTAGAAGATCAGAGAATCAAAATGAATCCTCCTCCAGATACAGAAAGTCTGAGACTTCCTCTGGACATAGAAGATCTGAAGGTTCTTCAGGACACAGAAAGTCAAATAACAAGGACATCATCTGCTATGAGTGCAATGAGCAAGGGCACTACAAAAGTGACTGTCCAAGGCTTCAGAAGGAGAAGCCTAAAAAGAAGTTCTTCAAGGAGAAGAAGAAAAGCCTCATGGAAACATGGGACGATTCAGACACTTCTGATGCTGACTCAAAGTCAGATGATGAAAGAGCAACCATAGCTCTTATGGAAAACGTGTCAGAAGACAGTGAAGCTTCTGGTTCAGACTCAGAATCAGACACTGAAGAGGTATTCCCTGACTTCACTATTAATTTCACTAAGGCTGAACTTGTAGAAAGTCTAAATGAAATTCTGGAAAGGTATCAACAAATCAGAGTCAAATTCAAGAACCTGAAAAGGGATCTTGTCTCTGAATCTGAAAAGACTAAGAGTCTCAGATAGAAAATTCTGAGTTAAAAGAAAAAGTTTCAAAGTTAGAAAACAATTTGCAAAACTCTCAGAAAGAAATAATCTCTGAGACTCCCAGTAATGCTGATGAGATCATCAAAGAGTATGATCACAGATTTCAGAAGTCTCTGGCTAAAAACATAGATAGAAGCAAGATGGCTTCAATGATCTATGGAGTTAGCAGGAATGGCAGAAAAGGGATAGGATATCAAGGTAAGGTATCTACACCTAAGAAAGTCATGGACTTAGTCATAAAATGCACACCACTTAAATCACACTTCATATATGGGCACACACATGACCTAAAATACACTAGTAATGATTACTCTGTCAAACCAAAATTCAACCAGAATTTTGGTAAAACTAACAAACCAGGACCCAAGAAGATATGGGTACCTAAGGACAAAATTATATATGTAGTAGATATCTTTAGCAACAAGGCTAAAACACCAGTCATGGTACCTGGACTCTGGATGCTCTCGACACATGACGGGAAGAAAGCATATGTTCCAAAGCCTGGAACTTAAACCTGGAGGCTATGTGGGCTTTGGAGGTAACCAAAGAGGAAAGATCATTGGCTCTGGAACAGTAGGTAATGGAAATCTTCCCTCTATAAATAATGTGCTCTTAGTTGATGGATTAATGCATAACCTGTTATCCATAAGTCAATTAAGTGATAACGGTTATGATATAATCTTTAATTAAAATTCATGCAAAGTTGTTAGTCAGAAAGATGAAACAATCCTGTTTAATGGAAAGAGGAAAAACAACATTTATAAGATAAAACTTTCTGAACTAAAGAGTCAGAATGTTAAATGTCTTCTCTCTATTAACAACGAGCAATGGGTCTGGCACAGAAGATTGGGGCATGTTAGTATGAGAAGAATATCTCAGATTAACAAACTCAATCTGGTCAGAGGACTTCCTAATTTGAAGTTCAGCTCAGATGCTCTGTGTGAAGCATGTCAGAAAGGAAAATTTGCAAAACCTGCTTTTAAATTTAAAAATGTTGTTTCTACCTCTAAGCCATTAGAACTTCTGCACATAGACTTATTTGGACCAGTAAAAACTGCGTCTAT